CAAAGGTCAAAACCCTCATCCAAACCACATTATATTTTGTTTACTACATTTCGCATACCGACTGCAACATTGACATTTATATTTTCTATACCTGTTCTGAAATGGACTTGCCATTTCAAAACAGATTAAACATTTGTTCTGAAACACAAATAAGTTACAATTAAATTTATGACATATCATGAATAAATTTATAACTAAATTTGAATAAAATTTGTAATACTCGTTCTATGCAATAAACACTGTCTTCAATCTGCATGCAACTGAACCTACTTGTTAGCGTCACACTCACGTGTGATGGAGTCACAGACACGATATTAGGAAATTATTTAGACATTAAAAATTTCAAATATTTAAGTATGTCAGAATAGTAGCCATCAGTTATGAAAAACTAAAGTTTAATGTAGACTTGTGCGAGACTTACGACTAGTTTTTCAGAAACGTGCATTTCTTACACTCAATGATGTCTTTTTTTGGGATACCAAATAATCTTTGATCTATAAAATATTGACATTTTAGAAATTGATTTTTCATAAAAATTTTTTGCCATCGCAAAAAAGTAGAAAAACGGAATAACTAACGTTTGTTAGTATCACAGATGCTTTATAGCAAATATGGACCACTTTGAATGAATGAACCAACAAAATATCATACAAAATCAGTGAAGTTTTCACAAAAAAAAAAATTGATCAAAAAGCGACGTCAACTTTACTTTGAGGCACCTGTAAAGATAGTTATACAAAAGCTTTATACTAAACGTCATTATTGTAAGACAAAAATCCGTGGTAGTGATTCTTATAGATATAATCTTACATTTTTTTTATAAAAAATAAAGTGACGAGGTCGACGATGTAACATGCACACCTAAATAATGCCTATTCACTCTTGCTTTGAAAAGGTCCTAGTTACAGCGTTCGAGGAACAAGTCCGCAGGCAGGAAATTCCACACCCTAACCGCTCGCCATATAAATGTGGAAGCGAAACGCTTCGTGGGAATCCATGTTGTCTCGATGACATTTGAAATAAAAGTTGGACTTGGTAAATGTGTACTTGTTTGTATTTATTTACTTAGTTTAGTTTCTAGGTAATTTTTCTGAGGTTTTAGTATATCCAATATGACAATTTCAAGTGTAATTTGTTTACCTATGATTTAAAGATAATTTGAATTTGACATACCAAACATATATCCAAAAACGAGATGACGAGATGACTTGGGTACCCCAAATTAAAGTAGACGTGTTATACGCTACGTGTAGGACGCTCTAGGACGACGCGTGAAGGGTTATGGAAACACGAGCGAATTCCGATCCTATTTCACAGGGCCCTACGTGTACTACGTCACGTTGGGCATTGTTGTGAAATGCTTAATTATTATCGATTTCGATAAGGTTATAATGAATATACGCTATTTGCAAAACTGAATACTTAAATTTATAACTATTGAAAAACTGACTGGCATTCTTCCATTTATTTCTTCTTTTTTACCCGACTTCAAAAAGGAGGAAGTTCTCAATTCGATTGTATTTTTTTGCATATTACGAGATTGCTCTGATCGTTGTGAACCGATTTTGATGATTCGTTTTTGTTGGAAAGATGGTACCTTAATAGTGCTCCCATTCAAATTTGAAGAAAATATTCCACCTCTAAGGGTGACAAACTACGGAATGAAACTGGTTTTTTGGATTTCACCCACTTTCCGTTAATCGATTTTATAAAACTTGGCAAATGCATGTAATTCGGTACTTAGTCATGAGAATCTGCTTTACTTATACGTAAACATCTATCAGGCTATCATGAGTTGAATGACTCAGAAATTCTAGGGGTAGATAGATAGATAGATAGATAACACGTTTATTCAGCACAAATACAAACAGAAACAAAACATTTACAATCACTTCACAGAGTATAACATAAAAGCACATAGAACATTCATTATTAATTTTATACACATTTATACAAAACACATATTGCGAGAAAAACAAATACTATAACAACTGACAAAATTTTAATGTACTTATGACTACAGTTTGTGCTGAAATGGCCCTGACTTAACATAAATACTGACCGAGAGAAGTCAAACAGTGCTGGTTTTCTGCCAGTACCTTAAGGTGAGCGATCGCAGCCCAATAAGCCATGCCACCAAAGTGCATCACACGCAAACGTGTTGTTTCTTGTAATGGACTGTTTTTGTATATATTTGTAATTTCCAAAATTTATTTCAAATATCATAAGATCAAAACAAACTGAAAGAACTAAACGGGCCACTACTATGTATTCTGTCACCCTTGTATGCAGAAGCTGTATGATTACCTTTATTATAAACTTTTTATTTCACCACAGTTTCAAATCTTGTAAACGACAAGTATTGAATATAAATAAACAACAAAATAAAAAGAATAAGCTTTATCGGCAACAAAAAGCACGTCAAAAGGATCCATGACTCAGCATCTGCGAACTATGCTAAACAGGAATGTTTAGTTTATTGACCCACAAATAAATTTGTGACTTAGTGAAGACGACTGCCAAGAACAGCAACAAATCATAAATGTCTATAGACAACAAGTAACATTTCATAAAAAAGGCATGACCAGGTGTAAGTTCACTTGGCTCTAAGGGTCGTATTCTAGAACTCTACTCAATGCTCAAGTCAGGATTGCACTGGAAACACAAGCACTGGAAATACGACCCTAATAATGGCAGGGACTTGAGTATGATTTCGAGTGCTTTAACCATACTCAAATCCTGACTTGAGCATTGAGTCGAGTTCTAGAATACGACCCTTAATAACATTTACGAGTAAAACAAGAAATAACCTTCTCAATTCTTAATTATTTATTACGAAAGGAAGTTAAAACGAATTGGCACTTACATCCCGTCGATATAATTAAGATGTTAACCTTTTACATTAATTAGGTTGTATAAATATTGTATGTATCTATTGCAAATAGTGATATTAGTTTCGTGTGTTTGTTTGCTAATGTAAAAAATATTTTACCTAGACCATTGTTGAAAATACGCTCATCAAAAGCGAGGAGTTCTATTTAATATAAATTAAATTTTAAATGTTCTTCATTGCAAACATATAGAAGAGCAACAAAGCAACCCGATTGAAAGCTAGTCCTAAGTCCAAATTATTTTACTAATAGTAGAAAGAAACTCCTTGTGAAAGAGTTCATCAAAGGAAGTACTGCTACCTAACCTATTTCTAACGCCAAGCAGTAATGTGAGCATTACTGCGTTTTAGCTTTTGAAAAGTAAGGACGCTGGTGAAATTACAGGCATATAGGACTCGTTAATTCATGTCACAGAGTGACGGACGCCATGACAGTGCCCCTTAGATATTTGTAAAGCTCTGAGTGGTTATGGACAGGCATGTCGCTTACCACCAGGCGTACAACTGGTGCGTCCCGTCATTTAGTATCATAAAAAAAAAGTTAAATGAGGAATTGTATATATTTCCGAAATCAATTGTCTGTTCCAAACTTCAGAAACGTCTTCCGACATTGCCTAGCATTTGTTGCAATATAATCTCCTGGAAACCTACAATTGCTTCCCATAACCACAGAAAGATATGGACTTGTCCAATAAATGACCAGGAAGCACACCGCAGTGACCGCATATGTATTGCTCAAAACAAATTTCCTTCAAAATCGCACGCGTAGGTCAATTATGAAGTAATATATGGCGACCCCTTATCACCGAATATCGGGCAGTATATAAGCTAGCAGATGCGCAAGCGACTACATTCTAACTCTGGTTTGGAAAGGCATTCAACATGAAATACGTTAGTAATTTTAATACATAGTTTATTTACGATCATACGAGTATATACAGTAGATAAACCATAATATTTGTAAAAACAAACAGTTTCAAGTTGAAAAGGTTATATCAAAGAGGACGTTAAAAGAAAGGTTTAAACACATTATTAAAAGTTAAAGTTATGGTTTTTAAAAGTTAAGAAATAAATTACTTTCGTGCTTTGTAATTAAATGATACATTTACTTATTAATAATATAGTACAGTTCAGTTGACGTCACCTGTGTAAATATTATGAGTCATGGACATAAAGCTTACACAGAAACAAAATAAAAAGCTCCTGCAGGAAATAACATTGAGTCTAGTGTTTGTGTTAATTCAACTAAAACAAATAAAACTGAAGCAATGAAAAGTGAAAAAAATTATTTGGCAATAAAAGGCTGCCCTGTGGAACACCGTTTCCATTCTCTTTGTCTTATAAATTTGTTTCCGTGTTTATAGTTGCAGTAATATTGAATTGAATTGAAGTCAAGTGATGTGTAGTGCAACGGGGAGTGGTGCAACGGCTTCAGCTTCTGTGAACCCAACAAAAAAAGTAACAATATCTCGCTGTACCGTGCGGTTATAATACCCTTGTGATAGGCTCTGCTTTCCTTGTCATTATTTTTCATTTCGCTCGGTTGGATACATCACTCTTGGATCGTACGCAGGCACTTAGCTGTTCTATATCTAGTTCTCGGTTTTCCTTGGAGTCGCGAACTATAATGATCGAGTATCAGCTTGTTCAGTTAACTTTTCACATGTTCACAAGATAATGTTGACGATAATTTGAATTTTGAACTGTATTATTTACAACTACAATGTCACCCATATAATCTGCTCGTGTTTGTCTCTTAGGCAGGCATTGTGTCTGTTTTGAGTAAATGTTGTATTTACTTCTACTTGTCGTATCGATGGCATATACTGTAATGTTTGCCACAGTGGCGAAAGGATTAGCCAAGTGACGTACAATGCTCGCCGATTGTTGCCCAGGGTGCCCCAGATATACTGGAAAGGAATAGTACGTCGTGCGGGAATGCGCCTTTCGTATGCCACATTGTATGTTGTACACAGTGTTGTGTACAACAACTATAAATATTTGCATAATAGTTTTATCAAATTCATGAAAATATTAATCGATTGGTCATATAAAGTTTGTATAACCAAATTTTATTGAAACTGAAGAAAATCACCACAAGCTCTGAAATATGGCTGTATTTTGCAGTCTCACACTAAATAATAGATGTGGTTTTTCAACAGCAGCTCATCGTTCTCTCTCTGGTTTCCCTGGCCGCAGCAGCCAAACTGGACAATGTATACCTCCCACCACATGCCACATCTTCAGGAGGTGCCAACGCTGGTCTACAGACTCCTTACCAGGGAGATCAAAGCGGTTACCAGGTAATACATTCTTTTTCATATGTCGAAAATTGAGAATGCCTTATTTTCTGGAACTTTGATTTTTCACTTCTGCCCTTTATACTCCATTAACAAACAACTAATCCAGTATAATTGGTGATTGATTACTGACAAACGGTTTGATAGCAGTAGAACGTCAATCTTATTTAGACAGTCACTCAAGAAGCTTGTGAATCTGTCTGATCTGGATTCTGTCTGGATGGATTAGTAATTATTAACGAGAAATTGTTATTCTGTCGTTAGTAACTACACTTTGTCCTGATCATCACATGGTACTTAACTAACCAAACCGATAGTGTGAAAATTAATTTCAAAATCCAATACCTTTTCTTCCAGGCTCAAGCCCAATCTTCAGCCTATAGCCAAGCTCAAGGTTCCTACAGCCAGAAGTCTCAAAACGAAGCTGAGATCCTGAGATACGAGAACGAAATTACTGAAGATGGATTTCACTACGCTTATGAGACCAGTGATGGTACTAAAGCTGAACAGGAAGGTGAGTTTAATGTTCTATTAGAATAAGGAGAAAAAAATGCAAGGTCTTACGGTGGGGAACTTCGTAAGCCGACGTTGCTACATGTTAACTTACTCCATATAAACTTACAATTAGCACGGACGCCGTGATGAAACGTAAAAAAAATGTACCTATTGTAATGACATGCAATACAACGGCTTTAGCATTTGATAACGATGGATTTCACTATACTCAAGGATTCACATAAAGCTGTGGCGTTTAGCAAACCAATGGCAAAGCACTGTAGTAAACTGTTTGTGTCGCGTATTGCCCGAACATAAATCAATGTTCAAGAGTCGCTTTCGCAAGGCGTTAAAGGTGACTACATAAAAAGATAAATCACAAGCGGGCAAAAAAATTAAAATTATGGTCAATAAAATTTATGTCACAAAATGTATCTATGTCTCGACGATACAGATCAAACCGAATGTAAAAATCCAACAAGTCGTTTTTGCCACGGAACGAGCTAAAGAAACTGACATAATAATTGTAAATACACTTAAAAACCATTGCTTTTTCTCTAGGGCAGTCGAATGAAAATGCCAATATGATTAATTGTTTAGCTATAAGGTACACCTGAATAAGATTTTTATAATAATCTCGATGGGTCAGCGGTTGGGACTCTGAGCTACAAAGGTCAGGTTCATCATCAACGTGACCTATTCGAAAAACCAGTTTTTCTAATTTGGTTCATAGAAATACAGCATATATAGAATTTGGCAATGACAAAATAAGAATAATTTCACTATGCTCGGTCAAATATAAGGCATACAAATATAATTGACTATGCATGCATGAATAACAAGTTCTAATTAATTATAATCAAATATTATTGTTTGATGATTATTAATTATTGCTTTAGACGAAAGACCAACATGACTAGTGTTGCCAGATGGTTACGTGTCTTAGATTTTTCGTAACTTTGACCCATCGTGTATAACCAGAAATAGAAACGAAATGTCATTTAATTTGTTTGAAAACTATTCTGCCAAATCATTATTGTGACAACTGCGCTCCCATTGGCCAGCCCGAATTCGAAACAATTGACGGGTGTCGTCAATTGTTTCACTTCAATTCGACCCGTTTAACTTGAGCTTTGCTATAATGGGCGAAAATTGCAAAATTACATATTTAATTACATGTTTTGCTGTTTTTCACACAGCACCGAATTGAAATGTTATCAGAGACATTGTTAGAGATATTATCTTTATTACAATAAATAGAGAATATTTTTGGAATATACGTAGACGTAAACACAGGTTCAGTTGTTGGCGCTGTACTATTGCAGTTTTCTAATTTGTGATTCCAGCGCAAACGAAAGTTGATATTTAAAAGTGATTTAAGACCCATTTGCCTGACGAGTTGCCAGGGGTGGATGGCCCTTATTTCGTCTCAATTTCTGGTTATATACTCGATGCTTTGGCTTTCTCGCGTAATATGTACTTTTCTGTTTAAGGCAATTTTCGTAACTTTTGGGCACGTTGATATTTTTTAAATTCACCTATATTTGTTATTTCAAAATAAAAAGTAACTCAAATATGGCGCAAACAAGATGAAACCAATCTAGAGTAGTTATAGCTTCTTTTTTTGAGCGTATTTTCTTTTTTGTTTTTAGGATTTTGGCGTACATATAATAATAACGCTCACAATAATAACGCTCACAACCAACATAGCCCCGCACTAGGGAAACCCTGTGTCGCGGGTGCCATGGACACACACATAGACAACCACACATTACACCCAAACTCACGAGAGAAATAAATGTAGGTCATACAAATATTTCTCCCGGCACGGGAATCGAACCTGGGACCTCTGCGTGGCAGTCCGGCATGGTAACCGTTCGGCCACGGAGGCAGTTAAAACTTTTTAGTTTTAGTTTTAGTTGAAAAGTTACATTTGACAAGTTCATTCTTTTAATTAAACATTCTAACTGTAAAAGACAATGTATAATTTTCGACTCCAAGGCCCTGGCAACACTAAAAATGACTAAAATCAATAATACAAAATTATTTGAGTCAATATTAATAATAATTGCAAAATATATCAAAATGAAAATGACAAACGAGAGAAAAAAATATCACGGAACTGGGCTTAATAATCTCAACATCCTTACCCTCAAATGTAGAAAGAAAGATAAAAAAAGGAAGCGGGACCAATTAAGAAAACTAACTTTTCTAAACTGATTCTCATCTGGGTGTTATGGAAAGAGCCTGGAAGGGAATTCTCTTCAGTACTTCATAGTTTAGAGAATTCTGTTTGTAGTCAAAGTCAAGTCAAAGTAAAAATAAATATTACATAAGTAAAATAAATTTACACTTGAAAACGTCATTTTTTAAGCTACTGCTAATTCACTGTGTTGACTTCCCTGAGAAGAACGAGCATGAAACTCTAGGGGTTGAACTTTTCAAATAACCTTAAATGCTACGGAATACACTTTGCATCTAGAGCCATGTCGTCTTTCCATACATCTTTATGGTCTTCAATTTTGTTACATGACTTTTCAATCAAAATATTTTTAATGTAGGTTTTAAAACTATCTACTAATCTTATTGTAAAAACGTATATAGGTCCCCATAAAAGAATCATTTATCTTATTTAAACGAAATCGTGGTACATGAGTTTGGATTTAGTTCTAAGGTTAATATTATGGCTATCCTCTTATGAAACTATGTAGCATTGCTTAAATTTAGTAGCAGTAGAGCTTCTTGTGAAATAGTTCGTCCGGGGAAGTACTGCCACCTTACCTATTTCTGCCGCCAAGCAGTAATGTCAGCATTACTGTGTTCCGGTTTTGAAGGGTAAGGTTGCTCGTGAAATTACAGGCACATGGGACTTGTCAACTTTATGTCTCAGGGTGACGGGCGCAGTGGCAGTGTGTCTCAGATCTTTGCGATTTAAAGAGCTGAGTGGCACTATGGACAGGTGTGTAACTTACCATCAGGCGCACGACTTGTTCGTCCCGTCACTTGATATTACAAAAAAATATATATTTTCCTAGGCCATTGATGGGTTCGTCATTTCAAATCCATGGCTCTGGTACTCATGGTAGATTAACTCATTTGTTTGTTACATTTATCAACAGTTTAATGTGTAAATATTATAAGAGGATTGCACGCTGTTGTATCATCATCAGTCAATAAAGCAAAGGGAAAGGAAAATACATAGTGTAAACGCTAAAGGCGACGTTATATTTTGAAATAAGCAACAGTTTCGCCATGAGGAAACATCGTTTAGGTGAATTATTGAATGATGTAATTTAGTATCATGAGTAAATATTTCAAAGTTGATGACTTAATTTTGACAGCACGATTTAAAAACAGGGTTGTCATGTTGAAAAAAGAAAAATACCTTGTAAATTTCGCGTGCCATCTGAAAAGGTACAATACGAATGTTTATTTTTTATTAAATACCAATTGTTTTCTTTCTCCATAAACGGGTTAATTTCTGTGACGTGTCGAGTCTAGCTTTAATCCAAAAAACGATGACGCTCGATATGTGACCACGATCGACTTCTGTTTTTTTTAATAATACCAAGTGACGAGACGACCAAGTCGTGCAGCTGGTGTTAAGCGACACGCCTGTCCATAACAGTTGCAGTACAACTCAGAGCTTTAAATCTCAAAGACCTTAGGGTCTCTGCCACAGCTCACGTCACCCTGAGACATAAGTTGACAAGTTCCATGTGCCTGTAACTTCACCAGTACCCTTCTAAACCCTTAACCTTCTGCGGTCATGCTCACATTCCTGCTTGGCGGTAGACATAGGTGAGGTGGTAAAACCTTCCTGCTACTAAAATTATAATACCAATCAAATATGCCAGACAAGTACGGACTTGGTGTCAAACAAGGCATTTTCTTATACTATGAGCACCAGAGTAAGAACATCACCTCTGTAAAGACCATTTGGCAACGCTTAAATATAAACGTCCTCTTCTGGCTAGAGTGCTAGAAGCCATCGAGGTAGTTAAAGACTTTAAGTAGCTGCAGAGCTCCTTGTGAAAGAATTCGTCCAGGGAAGTACTGTCACCTTACGTATTTCTGTCGCCAAGCAGTAGTGTGAGCACATAACCAATACCCGATGTCAGAGCATTATTGCGTTGCGGTTTTGAAGTGGTGCTGCTGAAACTACAGCCATATGGGACTTATCAACTTATGTGGGTGACGGGCGCAGTCATGGCAGTGCCCCTAAGATCTATGCGACTTAAAGCTCTGATTGGCACGCTAACTATTATGGACAGGCGTGTCGCTTACCGCCAGGGGCACTAGTTGGTCCTTTAATCACGTTCTATGCACGTGTCATCTGTAAGGATTATGAGCGTTACTGTGTTCCGGTTTCGAAGAGTAAAAGTACTGGTGAAATTACAGGACTTGTCAACTTGTGTCTCGTGGTGACGGACGCAGTGGCAATGCCCTTCAAATCTTTGTGATTTAATGAGGCACTGCAACTGCTAAGTACAAGCGTGTCCCTTACCACCAAACTCAGGACTTGTTCGTCACTTAGTGTACGACTCTCATCCTTACAGCGAAAAGCGAAAGCGAATTACCAAATTAGTTAATCTAGCATTGCATTTGCATTACCTCAATTTAAATCGTAACTCAATTACTATAGAGATTTATCGGGGTACCTGCACTAATAATAACTTGTACCGTAATGTTCCTAATTACATAATGTATTATTTATATAATGTTGTGATCCTGTTACTTTGTCGCTTTTACGTTTGAAGCACACACTTGTTTTAATAGTTGGTAAATAAAGATTTATAAGAAAAAAAATCAAGTGGTAATACCTGTTTCCAAGAACCAGAAATAATTCAAAAGTGACAGGCAAAAAATCAATAAAACACAGATATATTTTTATTTGCAATTTCAAAACTTTACAAGTACACTTATCGTTCCAAAGTAATTGTTAGTTACACTTTAAAAATATACAACAAAATACAGTACAACAGTTCTAGGTTCAACTCAGTCTGGTTTACTTGTATT